AATCCTCACCCGTGATTCCTTGAGTAATTGTCTTAGTTTTATTTACCCTTTGAGATTTTATTTGAAGCTATGAAACCCAACGTAACACTATGATGAAAATCACAATGAATAAGATTTTTTTTGATGTATTTCTTCAAGTCTACTAATTATATTATTTAATTATAATAATTTAATAATCCATTTATTCTTAATTATATTTAATAGATTTTTTTTTAAATTACTATTTATTGCATATTTTATTATTATCATATAATTTAAAGTATTTGGATTTTGAGTATATTTATATAATTGAATAAGATTTTTTATCTGAATATTTTTTTAATAGACTAAAACAATTATAATAATATTTTAACTAAAATAAAAATAAATTAATTTAATTAATTTAAAAGTTTATTATTTAAAATTAAATATAATTATGATTCATATCACATTTAAAAATTTAGGATTTAGATTTGATGATTTATTAAAACTTTTAAGAATTATATAAATACTACTATTTCTATTTTATTTTTTATTTTTATATTCATAAGATATAATAAATTTATCATAAGAAATCCATTCTAATAATTGTTTTTATTTGAGCATTTATTTAAATATTTTGAATAAATTCATTAATAAATTTATTTTTACTAGTCCAATTAAAATACTTTGCTAAAATAAAATAGAATAACATTTTTTTCATCATTTATATCCAGTGTTACAAATTGAGCAAATTCCTTTTTTTCTAAATAATATAATATTATATTATAATTATTATTTTATTATTATTTTAAAATATAAAAATATAAGACTTACTTAATAGATATATTTATTAAATATATGATAATAATATTAATTTAATCATGTTTAAATTATATATTTATTATTAAAAATAAAAAATAACTTATCCTCTAATAAATTTATTTTTTTAATTAAATAAAAGATTTAATTAACATTATAATAATAAGTATAATTAAATTCTGTTAATTAATAAAAATAACTTACTCCCTAATAAAATTTATTTTTTAAATAAAAATTAAGTTTACTTTAAATTATAGTAATAAGTATAATTAAATACTGATAATCAATAAAAATAATTTACTATCTATTTGATTATTAGTTATTAATTATTTTTTAAAATATTAAATTTATTTAGCTTTAATTATAGTAATAAGTATAATTAAATTAAATAATGATAATCAATAAAAATAACTTACTATCTAGAAGATTATCAATAGAAAAGGGAGAAATTCGATTACTTCAGTCAACTAATTTTTCATAGTATATATTTATAATTGTTTCGTTATTCAGAATATTGGTCAAGGAGGTACACTTATTGGGGGAAAATTTCAACATATGAACAATATTACTACACATCTTATCCAAATGCGACCATTGAGGAATGTCACCAAGCTTTAGCAAAGGATATAGATGCTCTTTCTAAAACCTATAACAAGAACGATAACAAATATTTGAAATTAAAATCATACAGAGACAAATTGAATAAGGTCAGTGCTCTTTTGTGCAGACTAGTAGACTATAGAACTGGAAGCACTTCGTGGCTACAGTTTGCGAAAGCTTCAGTCAGGTAACCAGAACTGGCGTACGGAAAGCGGCCTACTGTAAACGTTCTTCTATAGATTCTACGAAATTTGTCTGAAGAGTCGAAAGCACTCTGTTAGTGATTACGAGGCAGAACCCAGGTGTCCCGACTTGAAAGCGGTCAGATACTTGGACTGAGATGGGGTGCATCCACAACTGGGGTTGTCGCGTGTGCCATTCGTCGCTGGCGAGCCAAATATTGTCTTAATCACGAAGCAGTTACCATCTCAATTAGCCTCAGTGCTATTGGTGACATGGTGCCATACCCAGTCTCCCCAGACTTTGACTGTTGGTATGTGCGTTTCAGCTGACACAGAATTATACTGATTTCTTTTTTTTTCTTTTTATCTACCTAAAAAGTTGCAAACGAAGTACGTCAAATAATTCGGGTGAAGATTTTGGGATTGAAGCTGAGGATGAAGCAGCAAATGAAGAAGATATTGTAATTGAAGCTGAGGGTGACGAGTTGGATGATCCAAGGTCCGTAAATTTTCACAAGCGAAAAAGGAAATGCGTTATCCAAGAGTGTAATGTGACTATCAATCACTCAGAACAAATAAATCATTATTGCAAGATACTTACAGACTTGCAGTCACACCACAACGAAGAAGATTCACAACGAGCCCGTCACCTTTTCGATATGTTAAAGTGGTCCATAGTCAGCTTGATGGTGGTAGACAAAAAATGATCAACGTTTCAATACCACAAGTTACGCTCAAAATTTTGTCTGTACTTTTTGAAGAGCAACCCGATGATGAGCTTCGATCAATATCTGGAATATTGCAATCGCTTAAGAAGAAAGGTCGAATTTACACCAATGATCGCAATATTATAGTTACAGTTTTCCGTCGGATATTTTGGAATCATCCAAAAAATCCACCTTATTATATAGACGTTTTAACTGCATCATCCGTAATTACAGCAGTTATTTCATACAAAGCTATGTACACCATCGCGCGGTCTTGGTAGCAATCCGTCCGAAAATCACGTTAAATCTGAACTGTGGTTCGGAATTTTTCTACAGCGCTCAAGCTTCATCATTTACAATTCCTTCCTACTTGAGAGTTACAGCATCTAATTCCGGGTCATGCTGGACAAGGCTCAGCAAGATCAGATTTCGCCTCAATAATTATAAATAATAATGATTTACAATTCGCATTTTTCATTGTGGAATTCGAACAAGCTGGCTTTGAAATTCACAAGGATGAAGTAGTTGTTGTAGCAGAGTTAGCATACGAATTTAATCGTATACTTTCTCAGATGCATTATCCAACGGAAATGGAAGTAAATGAAACTAGTTTGCATTTTGGCCTGGTGAATGATATGAAAGTTCGTTTGGGGAGAATACAGCCAATTTACAATCAAGAAAAATTGAGTCTTGTCTATACTTATGAAGATGAGATAATCTCATTCAATTTTCAAGAAAATAATGTGGAGGCAAAGTGGAAAATGTATTGTGCTTAATCACGTACCTACGCGAAACAGTTTGCGTGGATGGGATGCGTATCAGATCTTTATTGAACAGGCGTCCAGTACAACTCAATTATAATTTAAAGTTAGCACTACCAGAATTACCAAAAGAGGCGGTTCAGTCTCGAAAGTTTGAAACGAAGTTTACTCCAGTCACCATGAGGGTACGATATAATGCAATTTAAGAAGGTGAGTTATCAAGATGGTTTCTATTTACAAATGTAACATTTTATTGTCCAATTACGAATTTTAGAATCACGTGATAATTGTATTTATTTTTTATATAGGGGAGGAAATCTATCGCATTTGGTAAAATAACTAAAATGATTTTGCGATGTGATGAAGCCGATTTGTTATACACTAGTTATTTTTTGTTCCGTTCAACAAAGAAGGAACACGAATTTACAAAAGGTCTTTAATCAGTATCAAATTGCTGCAGAAAACAAATAATGGAAATGGTAATGGATTGGAACAGAAAAAAAAAATTGTAAAAGTTCATAAATCAACAGAGTATAAAATAGAATACAAGATTTCTAAATTAAAATTTTAGCTATCATGTAATAATTGTAATTTTTTTTTCTTTTTCCATTTGAATTAATTGTTATCATTTGATAGAATATTAATTTCTTTTAAAATAATATATATATTGTAAAATAAAACTATAATTATTGACTGACGTCAAAAACAAAATATAATGTAGCGCAGTCGATCGTATTATGAACGTAGATGACCAAGTTAAAAAAAATAAATATCAGATTTATCAGTCAAAACCGGTCGTGTACGGATTATATTATTGTTCATAATTAAATTCTTTGTTAAGAAAAAAAAAAAAATTTGGGTAAAAAGTACAAAATTTTTGTGACCAAATAATAATGATTTTCGAGTAAATGTTTTAATTTTTAATCCTATCACTGAATTAAACTCTTTAACGATAAGTAACGAAATCAAGACCATAAAAGATCACAGCTTAAAGCAAATCGATAGGAATAAAATATTTATTCGGAATTGGACCAGTTGAAATGAAGATAAAATATACAATACAAAATAAAAATACAATAAATGAAAATAATAAGGAATTGAAGAAAATAAAATAGATTTACATAATTAAGAATAAAAAAATAACAAAAACATTTTTTTAAATTTAAATCGATCCTTTTCTTTTTGTCGAGTGGACATGATCGTTACTTAAATTTTTTTATTATTCGTTAGGAGAATGCCATGCGCCCGTCCGGCTCTCACTGCTCCAGGTAAATATCCGGAGGGCGCCACCACAATACCAATTTTGCCGGCGTTTTCTCGTCGGGTGAGCACGTCTGTAAGCTCTTCCAAGACGTTACGACCTAAATGCGTTCAAGATCGATTAATTTCGTTTCATTTTTATCGATAATACATGTAATTTCGTTACGATACTTAATTTTTACCCAATTTTTACATTGGATGGCAAATTCATACCTTGCATATCAATCCCACCTTCTCCGGAGCCACTAAAAAATAATAATGAGTGCCTTGCGCCTTTATCAACGAGAATTAAGAACGTTGTTCAGAGTCGTTTGCGACTGTGGCCACGAAGAGCTTTCAATTCTCCGATATTTTACATCTAGTGGCAGCGTAGCTTTAGATGCACAACGACTCGACAAATAACCCAGTGAGATACTTACTCACCCTGTCACTAATCCTTTTTGAAAGGAGTCCACTACCATTATTAGCTCGTCAACGAAGTTCGACCTGAGTCTTTATCGAAAATACATTTATTCATCGTAAGGACGACTAAAAAAATATTAATATACAAAAAAATGAGTACTTACGTCATCGTCATTAAGAATTAAGTCGATACGTTAATTCGTGCATCCTATTCACCAAAAATCTTAGCGTCCGTCGCATAAGACCATCGGAAGCAGGGAAGAACGTGCACAGTCGGACCTTGGCCACGAAAAGCATTCAATTTCCGCGATAATCAAAAGTCGAATCTTATTTTTGGTGACGCAGTAAATAAGGCTATAATAAACCTAGGACGTAATTCAAATAACCTGCTTATACTTATACCGTATAATAACATTAGATTTGAGGATCAAAAAAAAAAATAAATAAATAAAAACAATAAAATGACACTAAACATGATACTAAGGAAATACCAAGTATTTCCGAGGATTGACTGAATCATAATTCCAACACTAAGCAGGGTAAATAGATTTTTAAATTCTCGTAACCCGCACGTATAAAATTGAAAATATTTTTTATGAAATCTTTTTATAGTATTACGCGATCATTACATGTAAAATAAAATATCAATCTCATTTCTCATTCTTATTTTAATGTATTAGAATTACCTGCGGTTGAAGAAATCAAAATATTTTTTTTTGGCGTTATTAAAATCACGCGGATTATGTGATCTATTCATAACTCGATTTTAATATTTTATAGCAAACGACCCATACGTCAATTATGATTTTGAGTACAATAGGAGCAATTAATCTCTTTGTTTTTTTTTTTCATTAACTGATAGAAAGTATTACACTTTCTGGAGCGAAACCGCCTTTGAAATCGTTATGCCGATTGAATCTATAATTTTTTTTTTATTCAATATTCCAAAATTCAAGTTTTCTTCCCTTTAATTAGTATCTCTAATTAGAACGTGGAAACCTTTTCAGTAGATTCTGCCGTCACTGGGTCGCGACTCTAACATATTTTAAATTTTGTTTAAAAATTTAATTAATGTTGCAAAGAGTACAATATATAATTTAAGTTTTCGACAGAATTAAAGTTGTTAAAATCACATTCGGAAACAAATTTGAAACTTTTTAATAATTGAGAATTTCGCGAAGTTCTGTTATTAGATTAAATTTGGAACAGCGACTTTGTTCTCAGTCATTTGAAATTGCGGAGCTGACTTTGCTTAATTTCTGCAGAGTCGACTCAGCGGCTCCAACAACTGGTAGCACCACGAATTACCTATATTATTACGGAAATTCCCGCCAAAAAATTCATACACTGATTAACTTTTCCACGTTTAAGGTCTTATAGTTCAAAATTTTAATATAATATAAAGAAGACTTCCAAAATATTTGAAATTAATCCGGAGAAGAAGTGATCTAGTGCGGTATTCGATACTTGATATCATAGAAAGAAATTATTTATTACATTAGAGGATAAAAAGAATAAAAAGGATTTGACTTTGATCACTTTATGAGTATTATGGTTATTTTTGCTATTGCTTTTATATGTTGTATATATATCTGAGGATATAAAGTATGAAGTTCACAAACAATTCCTATACAGGATATCATCATGTATCAATAAAACCTTATGTTACCCGTCAGTTAATGCGATTTCTCCTTTAAATTATCAAGTTTAACCCCTTTTCAGAAAATATTTATTAATCGAGTTATAATAAATCAAGTAGAACCAGAAAATATCATTACACAACAAATCAATTGGTGCATTGCTTAAGAAGTTCAAAGGGCGATGTCCTCGCCACTTCCCTTTCAATTCAATCAGTCAAAATACCAATTAGAGGCCAGCAAAGTTTACGCAATGAATGATCCTATTGTCATTATTCAGCAAAAATCGGGTAAAAAGAATATGTTCTTACTACAATTAAATATTAATGATCAAATACCTAACGTATTAATAAAATACAAATATAGATAACCTAAATCAAACCTTTTAACCAACTAATAATATTTACGACAATAAAAATTATTTTATTAAATTGGGACATTGCATTTTAGGAATTTAGTTTTAGAAAATTTGGATGTCCTTGTGAATTTTAAATATAAAATGGTCGGTTTCGCTTCGCATGAAAGAAATTAATAATAAAATTCAATATAGAATTTAGTTTAGATTTCCCTTTCAAATTTATATTGACGATACGGAACCTTAATAATAAACGTATACGTACCTGATCGTTACAGAGCGCCGTAGTTGAAACAGGGGCTTTATTTTCGTCGATTAGATTAGTATTTCGCCTATTTCGCCCTCCATTAATTAATATAATTATCAAATTATAAATTCTCTGTTACCTCATCTTAAATAATAAAATAAAGAACTACGCGGAAACAATACATTTTTTTTTGAACGAAACCATTCAATCGGTGATAACGTTTAGGAGGTGTATACAAGGTCAAATTTAAACACTTTATTATAATAAATATACAAGATTCGTTAAATACCTAGAACATTACCTTTAAATACAATGGAAAAAATAATATTCGAAGCTGGTTCTCAATCCATACCTTGATTAAGAAACAAAATGATTCTTCCTTTAATAATAAATATATATTTATTATCGTCTATATACATCTTTTTTATTTACTATAAATGATTTCAAAAATAATTTTATCATTTTTGACGATTTTCAAAATTGTTTAATATATATGTCCTAATTTTATCTGAAATTTTGTCCAATAAAATTTCGAAATGATATCCCGTGATGCTGACACGCAGAATTTTAGAGTGGAGTTCGGTGCTAAACAAGTATATTATGATTTCTTTCATATGTTATGGTTATGTTACTATAACTAAACTTTTTTCAAAATATAATGAAGTTTAATTTATATTATATAATTTTATAGAGATTTATTTTGTACATCGCATATGCTCTAGTTGTTGGGAACTTTGCAAAAATTACATAAATATTTATTTTACGTTTCTATATCACGAAATTTTTATTGATAAAATGATAAAATCCTATATAAATTATGTTGGGAGAGTATATCACGTGTTAAGAAGTTGAGTTTAGGACAGGTTGACATCATAGCACGAGATATACTACCCCAACATGGAAAATAATACACCCATTTGACTACAACAATTTGTATTACCTATAAAACTATATATGGCGTTTTGCAGTAGAAAGGGAGGAAACTACCAAAAAAAAAATTTTTAACTCAAAAAAATTTTTTTTGGTAGTTTCCACCTTTTCTACAGCAACACTTGAACTTCACTTTTTACACGTCTTATTAAATTTACAAAATAATTAAAAATGACATTTTCAGTTGCTATCGGAAGAGAGTTCGAACAAAAATATGTAGATATCTTAAAGGTTAAAATGTGCAGGTGGAAAGGACAGGGTGAGTATTTCACTATATTAATTTGTTGAGTCATATTGTATATCCGAAAGATACGATGCTACTAGGTGCAAAATGTCTGCTGTTTAGTGAACGATTCTTCCCAGTTTCCGAAATCCCAAATTCGGTAATGCCCTGGGGTATTGTAGTGAATAGGATATAAGGCTCTTTCTTCGTGGCCACAAAAAAATGACTGTGAACGTTCTTCTTGATTTTTGATGATGTTGACGCAATTACTCATTTTTTTATTTATAATTTTCACAGTGGGCGAGGAGATAAGGGGATTGACATGCGCGGGCGCATTCATGGCGAGAAGTTTGCGGGGCAATGTAAAGCCTGGAGGAAAAACAAAATAGGTATTTAATGGAATTTAATGAAAATTAATTATATCTAATTGAATATCATTTAATAAATATCTAAATATCTCAGGGCCTGCAGTAATAAGAGATATGATTGGAGCGTTGGCGAATGAGCCATGGTTTACCATCGGCGTGGTGGTGGGGTTATCGAAAGATACATTTACCAGTGGCGCGGTTAAAGCGGCCGAGAAAGCAGGCATCATTATAACCGATAGTGATCATCTTTATGATGACCTATCGGTAGTCGCTGGTCGACTTAAAAGAAAGAGATATACCTTGTATTGTATTTTTATTTGTATACTTATTTGTATTTTTATAATTTTGTACTATATAATTCTAAAACGCTAATATATCAGGGCCTGCAGTAATCAGAGAAATGATTGGAGCGTTGGCGAATGAGCCATGGTTTACCATCGGCATGGTGGTGGGGTTATCGAAGGATACATTTACCAGTGGATTATAACCGATAGTGATCATCTTTATGATGACCTATCGGTAGTCGCTGGTCGACTTAAAAGAAAGAGATATACCGTTTATTGAATTTTTATTTGTATTCTTATTTGTATTTTTATCATTTTGTACTATATAATTCTGAAACGCTACTTCTAATAAAATTTAATATAAATCTTGCTTTATCTTCCGTAACATTCTTTATGATCATGATTGCTTTGTGTTTATGTAATTTTAATATTTCACGCGTGGTGGGTTGCTTATTGAATATTACTTGCAAAATGATTGTGATCAAGTCTGTGATCAAAAATAAAAATATGTGGATTAGGGTTAGGTGTTACTATTTAGGTGTCAAACAAACCAGACCAGCTAATCGGAAATTTGGGCAAAATTGGTGTGTAATCTGCCTTAAAATCGGTTAATTTAATTTCAATTTATAAAGTGGTTATATTGTCTAAAATTTTTTCTCGTAACTTTGATAAAAATTAAAGAAATTTAAATTCTGTTTTGAACCGGGAAAAGTGTTTTGTGAAAGAAAATTGGTTCCAACCTCTCTAACTTCGTTTAAAATGGTAAGATTTCATTATAGAACTTTTAATTTGATTAAATATTATAAAAAATATTTAAGGTTCCAACTCAAATTTATCCTGATTTTTTTTATCCCATCACCTGACCAAAATTTGAAATATTTTGTATACTAACCAATCAAAAGGGGGAAAACAAATACAAATACAAAAAAAAAAAAGAAAGGCTAGTCATAATTAATATCAGAAATTCTTACAACCAAATCATGATATCTTTGCATTTTTACAAAAGACGGCATTTCTTTAACAAACTGCAACAAATTACGACGTATAATACTATAAGATTTAAAATACTTATTAATATGATAAAAAAAATTTCTGATCTCGTTGTCTTTTACAAAATTTTTTAAAATGTTAAAGGTAATATCAATGCCTTCATTCTTTCTATTCCTAAATAAAAATTTGTTCAAACCGTCATGTTTATAATCGACCAGAAAAGAGCTCAAGCTCTTCAATACTGAACCTAATCCATGTAGTAACTTTGAATTCATTTTCATACTCATGAAAGATGAAATTGCAAGTTATTTTAAACTTTCGTTATTACGAGTAATCATTCCGTATAATTGAGAATTGTCATCATGATATAGATTAGCCAAGCAAAGGAATTTAATTTGATCGCAATTAATTATAACACTTTCATAAACTCCACCAGAAGCGCCTATAATAAATAATTCTAAATGCTCCAGGTAAGAACCAACCTTTTTAATCAATAATTCAAAGTCTGTTGGCGGACCATGCAATTTTAAAGATTTAAGTTTTAATGAAGTTGGTGTATCAAGTAATGGTTGAAAAAATTGAGGTTTAATCTGTTTACAAATAATGAATCAAAGTGATCTCAGCTGTGTAAAAAATCATTAAGTCCATTAAACATTGTGAAAATTGCAACGATTAAACTCAATGGAGGTTTAATGAAATTAAAGGCGTTTAATGAAATTTTTAATGATAAAATGTGTGTTCTTGATTTCGTTTCATTCTTCAAAATTTTGCTTCTAGAAAGAAATATGAAAATGTTTACTAAAGGTAATGAAGATGGTAAAGATGTTAAAAGTGATTCGAGTTGAGAAAATTTTTAAACATTAGGGTTTGCAATGAAACTAATGCTGAACTTTTCGACATTTGACACAAATGTTGCATTATCAAAAATCAATTGAAAGAATTTAGGTAAAAAAAGACCATGAGAAGTAGTAGTGATCTTCAGATTAAAATCTTTTAAGGAAGCGTTATTGATCATAAAAGATTTCAATAAAAAGCTACAAATCATATCAACAAATTTCTTTAACCTTAAATCATTATATCCGATTTCCACTTCCTTTCCAATATCATCAAGAAAAGTGATATTATCCGGTTCAACTTTGATTGTGGAAGGGGATGATGTATTATCGGCATCAAGGTTATTTGCCCAATTAATTACATCAATTCCATTCGATATGTATCAAGTTATTTAATAAAGGAGGGATAAATAAATAAAGGGGTTAAAATACGTTTGAATTTAGCCCCATTAACTGATTTTTATCTAATTCACTAAAAATGAAAAGTAAACTTCAAAGAAATCGCAACGCTTTCCATTTAGACATTTCAATGCAAATGGTTCCTCCAGAGTATTGGAATAGTCATTCGACATAAAAATCGATTGACCAAAATACATGAATAAAGTGATTTTAAATCATTTCGTAAATATTTTATAACATAAAATGTTAGTTCTGGTAAATTACCGGAAAAGATCTTTGGGCATGGCATGATTAGAAAAAAAGTAAAGTGGGAAAAAGTGTTGAAAAATAAGGATAGATTTCATAACATGTATTTTCTTTTAAAAAGACTGAATCAGGATTTAATTTGCTATGAATTTAAGCTCATTCATTAAATTAAAAGTCGCTCGTTTAATTCAAAACATCGCTTTGCATATCTGTAATTGTAATTTATCAATTTATTCAGATAGAAACTACTAAATTTAGCTAACGTAAACAAAATAAAATAATGTTTTTTTAAAAAAAAAAAAATCTTTTTCGTAGCAAGATAAAATTATAATGTAAATATGAACAAAATTATTATATTTCCAACATTAAAAAACAAAAAAAAAATAATACATTGCAAACATCTCTCAAATAGAATAGTTTTTAGGTGTAAATAAAAAGAAAATATTTTCACTTTTAATAAATTATAATAGTATTAAAAAGAACTCCATTAAATTATTTTTTATTAATTATCTAGGCGCGTTCATGGATAAAAAAAAAATCGCCCAAGATATTCATTGGATAATTGATCTTAACGAATTGATTGATTTGTAAAAGATTAAACGCCCACCTTAGAAGTTTCGTTAAAAAGTTCATTGCTCCTATTCATAAATTTTTGAACTTTAAGATAGCGGGTTTAACTATTTAAATACGAAGTAACGTTTACCATATTCAAACAAGTAGGGATGGTAACGGTTGGTCATGCTACCGGTTGACCGATTAATTTATATAATTTAATTATCGCATGATTGAATTGAAATTTAACATTTTTCTTAATGTCGAAAGGTTGGTCGGTCACTATAGATGTGACACACGTGATTTATGTAACCGGGACTATTATAATCGGAGCATAGGGCACTATAGATGTTACACTGTTAGGGCGTAGCATTAGCATTAGGGTTAAGACGTGAATCGTTTAGGGCTAGGGTTAGGAAGTTCGGAAGGAAAGGTTTGTCATGAAAGCCGTCCGCAGGCCACGCAGCCAACGACTGCGCAACGTTTCCGATAAGTTGCGTGGAATTAGGGTTAGTTCGTAGCATTAAAATAAGCCACCTATAAATCAAATCATGTGTACCTAAAATCACGTGTCTGAGGATATGGATGTTACACGTGGTTAATTTCTATTACATATTCAAAATGTATATGTAAAAAATTTACAAAAGAGATAAATTAATGTCTGAAGGTTTCATAAATTATTTAGGAGCAATAATATTAGCAATTCTAACATAGGTTGATACATGATCTGGTCACTTTACTTTTTTAAAATAACCTTTATCATCATATAACATGATTTAGGTTACTGATCAATATAGTCATCAATTACTTTTATTAAATCACAAAATCATGAAAATTATTAAATTATTTTTTACTTCTTTATCATTCATTATACCTCTAACCTTTAATATTTGATCCTCTTGAACTTTATCTTTATTTTCAACATAATATATAGATTTAAATAATTTGTTTTACTTAGCTATAAAATTTTATATAATCAGTCAATAATTAAAAAAGTAGTTTAGTATAAAACTATTATGAAATTTTATAAAAAGGTTTAATAAATTAATTTAATAATTTATTCTTTGTGATATGCTATTTGTATAATTTTCTTTTAAAAAATAAATTATTTTAATTTAATTTTATTTAATTCAGTAAGCTTTTAGTATATTATAATATTTAAATATTAAATTTATTAAATATTAATTTATTGAACAGTCAATAATTAGATAATTTTGTAAATTTTTCATAAGTAACTAAGTTATATTTTTTTAATAATATATTAGTTACCTGCTATTTAATAAAATGTTTTATTTAATATTTGATTTAAAATAATACAAAATATAAAATATAATTTTATAAAACTCTTTACTTTTAATACTTTGCATATAATAGGTTTTTAGTAAAAGTTAGTTTTTTATATATTTCTATTGATTAATAGGTTGCAAGTAACTATATAATAATTATTTATATAATAATATCTATATAATTTATGATTTTTAAATTACATAAATCCTATTTTTACAATAATAATAATCACTTTAATCTTTAATAAAATAAAAACATAAAACTATAATAAAGATTTTTCAAATTTTAATTTATAACTTGCAACATATTAAATAATCAAATAATAAAATATTTTATTAATAGATGATCATTAATAACTTATACTTGACTATACAATACTTTTATTTCTTAAAAGAATAGAAAAATCAAATATTTTTTATTATTTTAATGATTTTTAATTTATCTTAAAATATTAATTATTTTATTACATATGCTTAAAATATTACAAAGCTATAAGTTTAACATAGTTTGTTTTTGACTTTAATTTTACTTATTAGCATATTTTATATTTAACTAATAATATAAATATATTATATATAGCAATAATTACTAATATTTTGCAAAATTTTTATTTAACAAATACTTTTGGCTAAGTGAATATATTTATATAACTTTTTAGTTAAATGATTATATAGAATCTTTGTAATAAAAAATAGTTAGAAAAAATCAATTTTACTTTTATATATCAAATATAATTTTTAAGTTAAAATATGAAAGGTTTGCTATTTAGTAAATTATATAATTTATAATATAATTTTAATAGCTTATCTCCTATATGTTCAGATTTAACACAATTCATTTTTATTTTTTTTAACTATTTTTACCTTTTCTATTATAAAAATCCTATATTTTCAGTGAACTAGTCATATAAATCACTATAGACTCTTTTAATCATATATAAATATTATTTTAATTTATATATAAAAATTATTTAATATACAGATAAAAGTAAAGATAATCTGAATATCTCTAAAAATATAATTTTTTTAAATGCTAATTATATTATTAATTTCTAACTAAATCAAATTTAGTTTTTATTATTTTCCTTAATAAATAATAATTTTATTTGTATTTTAAAAAAAACCTATATTTAAAAAACTTAATAAATTTTAAGTATCAATTTATTTAAAAGTATTATAGTATTAAAATATTATAATAATATTTTTATTTAAAATATACTTTAAAAATAATATAAATAAATATAAATAATATAGTTTAATAATAATTATATTTCATAATAATAGAAAAAGTAAGTAGTTTTTTAATAAAATAGTATTGATCTTTTATTAATATAGTAATAGCTTATCTGTTGTATTTTAAAATATCATATTTTTTGTAGTATTAATAATCTTTATAAATTCTATTTTTATTTTTAAAATTATATAACTATAAATATTAATTTTTTTTTATTATAAATAACAAAAATAATTGCATAAATATATATTATAAAAAAAAGGTAATCTA